TGGACAAAAATCCACACCATTCCACATGCAACCACCCCACACCCAGATTTAGATCCAAAGACTCGACTCACATCACATTTGGTGAAAAACTGATGTGTGGGGCAGACCATTTTCACTGAAATATGTTGTTCCAGGGTGACTGCGCTGGAAAAAATCTCCACTATTCCATACACAACCCCTCATCCAGACTCATCCCCAAAGGCCAGACTCATCCCAAAGACCCGACTCACACCACAAGGTCAGAAAATATAAGGTGACACAATTTTGATCAGATCCATTTTCTTGGGCTGACCAAGTCCAATGACATGAACTTTGTGCAAGGATGACCTATGGACAAAAATCCGCACTGCTAGGAGTAGGCTTGTGATGAACGCCCGTAGTGCCCCCGCAAAAAGGGTCACCTTTTTTAAAAGAAATAAGGAGACCCTTTTTGAGCAGGTTTTCGTGCCACAGTTGCTTCACGCAGCATTCCGCATCAGTTCACCGTCTCTTCTTGTCACTGCATGTGGAAGTTGTTTTGAGGTGGGAGGGTTTAGGGGACAGGAGAAACATGTCACTGTTAAAAAGTTGTTTCTCCATGTTCCTGGAGGTAGGGGGTTAAGACTTAATTTACAGGTCATTGCACTCTTTCCTGTATCGTTTAGGGGTTAGCCACATTGGATAAAAATTCCAACTCAGAAATTGTTTCCAGTTTGAGGGCCCCCCCTTGCAGTCGACAGGGCGTACTGTTTTTTTACGTGTATATACGCGCACATATTTTGTCTTTTAGATGCTGTGTCCGCCTTGAGATGCGTCATTTCTGGCCCACAACGCTGCTCTTACAGATGGACCTCCCGAAGGGAACCGCAGCTTCGATGTTGTTGCCGTTGCCGGAGGAGTGCTTGCTAATCAGCCGGCCTGTATGATGACTTGTGTTTTTGATACTGCAACTGCCATTCCCGCAGGATGAGCCAAGACTTCTCGTTGGTTGCTCCAGCGGGCGTTTGCTGCTCTATTCATGCTTGTGCCTTAGGTGGTTTCACAGCACAGCTTCGCTTGACGACCTTTTTTGTGCTGAGGTTCCACAGGGTACAAGAGCCAGGCTTTCGACCGCCAGCAAGTCACTGGTCATCGCTTGCAGACATCACTCGCGCTCCTCCTTTCCTGGGGTACAGAAAGGGTTTGTAGAATTGCGACAAGAATTTAGCATGCTGCATCATGCTGCATCTTCTTTTGTTTGTTGGTATTGGCAAGAATGACTACCTAACACCTTTGCAAGCTCAATGCGCTGCATTCTTTGAGTGTGCGAGTTCAGCGAATGTTTCGGGCGGTGTTTGGTGGCAGGTGCAGCGCCTCAACCTCACTCTTGCTGGGGCCGGAGTTTTTGTCCAAACGAGAGCATCTACCGCAACAGGCCGAGGTAGAAACTATTGTAGAACCTTGCGCGCGCCCGTCGTTTTGATTCTTGCGCGCCTCAAGGACGACGGTATAAACAAGGTTGCAATGAAACGGATCGCTCAGTCGCTCAGTGTCGGAGATCTGTTACGAGTAGGGCACAGGCGGAACAAGTGTTTTTTCTTGTGGCCTGCTTGGCCGTTACCTAGTTGGGGGCCGCCCGGCAGAAATGCAGAAACGAGTCACCCCGCCTTTTGCGCACGCAGTGCGCACAGAACCACAAGCGCGGTGATGAGCTGGAGCTGGCCACATCCATATACCCGCCCACCCACCCACCCTACCTTCCCCAGTCAAGTGGGGCTTGAGTGAGCCAACCCACTTTTAGTTGCAGTTGAGGCCGTTACCTTGGACATTTCTGGGGTGGAGGTGAGGAGCACCCCGATGGGCTTCAGATCATCAGCCACTTGTAGAACCATTCAGGGCGATTGCCTCCATGGTTTGGAGGATTTGGAGGCATTTGCATGTTGCCTTGGACTTCTGTGACTTCAACATCTAAGTCTAAATCTTTTCTGAGACTTTTCCCTGAACTCTCGCAGAGAGGGGCTGGCGAAGGTTTACTTTGTGACATGATAATCCAATTTTGCGAAGGGTTTGATACATGTCACAATCGCCCCACCTATCAGGGGTGGTGAATGGGATTGCTTTTGAGCTAGGCCTACTAGGCCTCGTAGATCAGGAAAGGCATTTTCAACCCAAAAGGCGCAACATGGTATATATATATATACACGGTTGTTGTCCCCAGGCTTGATTTAGACCCTTTGCCTCTTGCTACTTCGGAACATGTTTCCCGAGGTGAGCAAAATGTTTGGAAGGCAGGACCGAAGCCATTCACCACGAACGAACCTGAGATCGAAAGAACACCCCTCGGGGTGGAGAAGATGGTGGCAGCTTGAAGTCCGGTTTCTCCGCAGTGGCTAAGGCAGCAACTCTAGCATCAGCGATGCCTTTGTACTCGACGCCACTTGGCCCCGCTGTTGTAGAATCTTTGCACTCCCTCCACGGCGGATTGCGGCAGGGCCTGCTAGTGGCTTGTGGGTCAGGAAGCTCGGGAAGCCTGCGCAAGCCCCGGAGAGCAGAGTCTCCTGGAGAGTGAGCTGCTCAACACAGTCTTGCCGCACTTGCCAAAGTGTGAAGGCTCAGCGCGTGGCAGTCCAGAGATGTCAAGGACTCTTTGGATTCTACTGTGAGATAGAAGGGTGGTGGCATTTGCCTGATGACACCGAGGCAAATCAGGTGTATTCACAATTTCCGGCATATCTAGACGCACAAAAGGTGTGAGAGGGATTGTTTAGATGAGCGGCAGTAGGCATATAGAGATAGAGATCGAGATAGAGATAGAACTGCAGATATAGAGATATTGTGTACAGATTTCCAAAATGCTAGGACACTTCCTCAGGAGCATCCCGCTCAAGGCTAGCCTTAAGTCACTGCCAGAGAGGGAGGAGAAATGAGGAAAGCAAGTGCTGCAGGTCCACATTTGTCTCCATGCTCTGGGCTAAGCTTCCCAAAAACACTATTGTGACTATTGTGCGTAGATGGTAGTGTCCTTTTCACGTTTAGGTTTGGCCACATTTCGTGCACATCATCGACAACAAAGATTTTGCGAATCCTTGTGATTGCTGGAAGCCATGCTGGAGGCCACCCGGAATGTGGAGAGCTTCTTTCGTTGTGGCCCATCATTGCTATTTGACTAACCTGACCCAGGTGCCAACCCTATCATTTTGTCTTTGGACAGCTTCGGCGACATCACTTTGTGGTCATTGAGGCGCCTAAAGCCAAAACTGAGTAGACTTCTCTCCGTTTCAATCGTGCGAGCCCGAGCTCTCCTTTTTAATGGCTGCAGCTTGCTACTAGCCTGTCTGTCCGGGTAAGTATGACTTTGACACTGCTAGGCCGACCCTCTCGTGGGAATCTTAGTCGGACTCCGGTGACAGGCATTGTTCACATTCAGGCTTCTACAGATGGATATTGTTGTGCAAAAATCCTATATAAATGTTGCAATGCATGCTTCTGTCCTCCATTGCAAAACGGGCCAATGAGGGTTCTCCAGCAATGAGGGCCAAGAGCGGATGTGACCAACCCTATAGCACCCAATACGTACCAGGAGGTGCCTCTGACACAGAAACTGCGAAACAAGAATTGTGGCATGTCTTGCACCACCAGATCCTTGGCCTTATCCAACTCCTCCAACTCCAAAGCGCAAATTATCCTGCAGACACTATCCTGCAGACACTTACCACTGCTTAGATTTGCAAGATTTAGAGCTGTCAGGACTGCCCAGCAAAGATTGGGAGCACAAGTGAGGCCCACGCCTTGACAGAGAAAGCAGAAAGCTAGTGAAACGCTCAAAGAACTCTTCATCGCACCATTGCACCATCAAGTATTCACCAAGGAGTCATAGTCATACGATCACCGACACATGCTCACACCGTATTCCATGTTGCCACATCATGTCCTGTCTCGATCATCTCTCATCTCAAGTCTCGCCTTGACCTTCTCTTATGGAACAAAACAAGCAAGCTTATACAGGCATGAGGGGCGAAGTTATATAAGGGCCCTTACTCACTGGAAAATTTCCCAGGATTAGATCTGCAGGGTTTAGATCTGCAGGGTCTTTTTGTTTTTGAGTAAGTAAATTGATTTTTTTTGTTGGTTTTTTATTTTTATGTATCTTTGAAGTCTGTTCTAGATTTTTTTGTATTTATTAGTATTTTTAAATATTGTTTGAGTCATTTTTGTATTTTTTGATTTTTTTTTGGCATGTTTGTATTTAAAAAAAATCTTTTTTTGAAAAGCACATGCAATGGACCAAATGCCCCTGGGTGGAATTAGAAACAAACATGTGGTGAAAGAGCGCCACCATGCGCCACCATGGACATCCACCAGCGGCTGGAAGGCGGCTTCGCATGACCTCAGTTCAGAACAATCGCAATCCCAGAACAAGCGCTAAGACATCTAGCAGGTGTCATGTGTCATGTGTCATCCTCACATGTCGTGTGTCAACGTCATGTGTCGTCATGTGTCACACACTCACAGAACCTGACTACTGACAGATTTTTTTCACCCTTGAGCGCCCAGCAGTGATGTAAATTGACATCAAGCCGCTACTTTTGATTATTGACAATGATGACAAATGACAGATGAATTACAGCTGACATCTAAGCTGACCACTCTGCTCTGCAGATCTCAGCAACTGCCTTCCCAAACTCTGTTGTGTACGCTTCGCTTGCCGTAAGCAGCCCTTTGCTCCCAGTGAACTGCCGCAAGTGCTCACCATGTCGCTCCACCAATGGCAGGGACACCATGTCCACAGGACGAGGTCGCTCCAGAAGAGCGATTTTGCCCCATGGTGACCACAGCTGAAGTGGCTTCTGGCTTGGACCAGAAAACTGTCCCATATACGTGATGGCTCGCTTGGCCTTGCAAAAATCCAGCACCGTCCTCATCGATGGGCAATCCACCATCACAGAAGACGTTGGCTGTTCAAGGACTGGAAGAAGCCCGACCATGTGTGCCAACAGGAACATCAAGGCTGAAACTGTCATCAAGCAGTTGCCATTGCGAACAAAAGCCCTTGACTCGTCCCCCATGAACCCGTTGCTCGGATACCGGTTGCTCTGGTATCTGCAGAGCACCACCCATGATGAGCACTTGGTACCCATCCAGAACAATCCACGCCGTCTCAGTGAGCTCATGGAGTCCAACAGTAGACGCAACCCTTTTGATGTTAAGGCATCGTGGTCAGAATGGAACAGCAGGTCAAAAGCACTGCCTGAGAAGTTCGCCCGCAACATCAAAAGGCTTAAGTTTGCTGACCCTGCAAAGACATCCATGAAGTCTTGACTGTCTGGCCTGACTTGATTTGTCACAGCTCGAATCGCCAAGATCACCAAACATTCAGTGAGATGCTTTGCTGCCAGAAAAGGATAGCACAAACTCAGCAACCTTGGCCACATTCTTACTGCATTTCCCTCATTGCAGCGCATGTCCAACACCAGGAACTTGTTGGCCACATGCTCAAAGAAGATGATGTTCGACATACAGACATCAGGTCTAATCTCCAACCTTGGCAAGACAAAGTTGAAAGCGAGAGTTGAATGCCACTTGACATCAAAACAGAACAAGGACAAAAAAATGCAAAAATTGATCATCAGTCCCAGGCACGAAGCCAAGGGGAATGCTGCCCAGTGCACAAAGTCACAAAGACGCCGCTGACAGGCTTCCCAAAGCTTCGACTGGTCCTCACCAGCAGTGCTGTGCAGTGAACCGCCTTCCACACCAATTGGTTGTCCAACAGGTGTGTGAGTTGGCCCTTGAGTTGAGCTAGCCACCACATCCTCAACATCAGACAATCGCCGACTCCTGTCTTGATGCCTCTTGTCGTTTCTTCTAACATGTGGCACCATCAGCAATGGGAACATCGGAATCATAGGATGCATCCTTCGCAATACCATTGCAGCAAAGGTGGCTGGCTGAACGCAGCAGTAAGTCAGTCCATGTCATTTGTCAACACTCAAAATTTGTTTAGTCTTGTCAGCGACTCCGTTTTTGACAACAGTCGGTCTGCAAAAGGAACAGTGCGCCACTCAAAGAACATCACCAAAACCAACTTGAGCAAAATAACTGGCAGTGACAAGTAGACAGAATGACAGCAACAGTGACAGACACATGACACAATGACAACAACAGACACTGCAGCTCTGCTCGCACTTCATTTTTGGCAGTTGGAGGTGCCAAAATGGCAAAGTCGACTCTGTGTGGACAAGTGGGGCCCTGGGGCCTAGTCATCCTTCTTGCTTTTCTTGTCTTTTTTGTCTTTCTTCGGTTTCTTGTCCTTGCTGTCTTTCTTTTCCTTCTTATCTTTCACTTTCTCATCTTTCTTTGGCTCTGGCTTGGTTGGGTTGGCATAGTTCTTCTTTGGCGGCAGATTGGTGATTTCCTCCCTGAGTGATTGAATCAAAGCATCTGGAACGTCTCCAGGATGTTGAGTTTCTGCATCTGACAGAGCAAAGCCTGGGCAGTGGGAGGCGTGGACATGAGTTTGTTTGAAGCGGGCAGGGTAGACAAACAAGAAACTCATTCAAAGCAAACCAATATATATTATATACCACAAGTCAAGTAGCTTTCATCTGATGCGCTGTAGACCGTCCACTGCTCCCAAGCATATTTGTGAACATTCTTCAATGCACCCACCCAGCTTTTCTCCGTCTCTTTTCTAAAAGATCTGGAGCGGCTTGTCACACCAAGATTGGGAAAGTTGGCGGTGAATCTGTGATCGTTGCCTGGGTCCAGATTCAATTCAACTCAGACCAACAAACAGGCCTGCAGTTAGACAGCGCAGCAAATTAAACTGAAAAAACAAAATAAAAACGTTACTAATTATGAACCAAGATACTGTTCAGGCCAATTGTGCAACCAGGTGGGGCAATTGAGGCCAAAGAGTCTGGAGAGCGGTTCACCTTTGGGCCCCTGCTGGTCATAGAAAGGTCCTCTTGGGTGGAGCATTGACAGAGCTGGAGCTGGTAGGGGCCGTCTCACCAACAAAGTGATCGACAAATGACGGTAGCAGTGGTGGTGTCATAGGTGATTTGTCAATGGTCCTTGGGTCAACGTCCTGAGTCTGAGTCTCAGTCAGCATGTCCTCGACCTGGCTTTCTCCTACAGCGGCAGCTTCATCCCCTGTCACTTCACATGTGTCAGTCATCATGTCGTGGGCCTGGGCTTCTTCTACTTGGGTCACACCACTGGCAACATCATGCTCAGGCACCACCATGCGAGGAGGAGAGAGAGATGGTGGTGGATCTGCAGCATGAGCTGAACCACTGGACATTGGCCTGTCGCTGCCGTCAGCGTTATGATCCATCTCACCCTCGGTTTCAGCGTCAGGCTTGATGTCTGAGGCATCCTTCTCAGCAGCGTCGGCAAAGCTCAAGCGTTTTCGGATCTTGCTGCTAGAGTCGCAAGAATCTCCATGAGCTTTTCTTTTCTTTCCTTTCCCTCGACCTTTGCCTTTCCCTCTGCCTTTGCCAGCCCTTCCCCGACCTCGTTGGAACTTGGCATTCTTTCTTGCAGCACGGGCCTGCTTCTTCTGTTTGTCTGCCTTAGTAACACGGATTGATAGGGATGTCATGGGCAAAAGCTTCACACATTACCCCTTAAATCCCCTTGACAACTTTGAGAGGGGAACCCTGTGTCTTGCAGAAAAACACAAAAACATCCAAGTGCAGCCAAGATTCATTCAAAGCATCTCGTCGCCATTGTTGCCACTTCTTTTTCTTTGCCATCTGCTCTTTCCGACCAATGTTCTTTTCCTTCTTGAACTCAGCCGCATCGTCCATGTCCATGTTTTCAAGAAGCATCTCTGCAAATTCATCTGACTCAGCCTCCTCCTGAGCAGACTTTCTCTTTTTCTTTGCTGCTTCTTCATTGGCCACAACTTTGTCGGCAAACTCAGAGTTCGATGTGGCCTTCATGGCAATCTCACGCAACAACTGTTCTCTTGTGAACCTATTTGGGCGTTCAATACCCAACCCCCTCTCAGCCAATGTTGCCAGCTCCCGGAAGACAAGGTCAGCTGAAAAGGACCCAAGCATGCAAACAACTGCGGACTGCCACTCTTCAACTGGTTTCAAGGAAATGCAGTTGTCACCGTTCAGAACAGGTTCAGCAACGCCAGCTTCATACTGGTCGAGACTCCAGACAAAATGCCAGCTGAGCTTTCCCTGAGAGTCAAAATCCAATAGGGCATCTTCTTGCACTTTCAAGGGCCATGCAAGCACGGCCCAGTCTACGTTTGCCACACACAAGTAGACAGTGCCATCAGCCGAGCTGCCGCCTTCCCGCAATCGAAACACCATGCCTGCCCTCAAGACCAAGGCAAGCAGAGCGTCCTGAGAAGAGTGAA